ACCACCTGGCCCACTAGATTTTAATACAGTGGTTTTTCCCTATAATTCCTTATAATTCTAATCTCCATATAATGCTCTCTCTCTCTTATGTATCGTTACATTACTGGGCAGAGAGGTGACTTAAGCAGTTAAGAGCTGGTGCTGCCCTTGCAGAGAACCTGGGTTCCACTCCCAGCACCCACGTCAGGGCTCACAACACAGTTAACTCCGGCTCCAAGGGAGTGGATGCCTCTGGCATCTGCAGGCTCTCGAGTCTCACACACTGACCCATGTACATATACACGTAATTAAGAATAAAGCCAGATGTGGTGGCACATACCTTCAGTCCCAGCACTCAGGAGGCGAGGTAGGAAAATCTCTTTGAGTTCGAGGCCAGCCTGGTCTATAGAGGGAGTTCCAGGGTAGCCAGGGCTACACACAGAGAAACTCTTGTCTCTAAAAACAAAACAAAACAAAACAAAACAAAACAAACAAAAAACCGAAAAACAAATAAACCAACAAAAGCAGGAAAAAAAATGTCACATATCTTTAATTCTAGTACTTGGGAGGCAGAGGCAAGGGGATATCTGTGAGTTTAAGGCCAGCCTGGTCTACAAAGCAAGTTCCAAAATAGCCAGGGCTGTTATACAGAGAAATCCTGTCTTGAAAAACCACATAAAGTAAAATAAAACTATTCTTGCTGAGACCGTTAATGGGAAAGTAACATTCTCTTCAACAGACCACACTGCTAAAGTGGCCTGTCTATATATTAAAGAATAAAGTTGGACCCTGACTTTACACAAGGTACTAAAGACTAAAAATAGATCAGACTTAAATTTAAGAGTGAACAATGACAGGCCTAATGAATGACTCAGGTCTGTTAATCTCAGCTACTTGGGATCCAGAGGTAGGAGGATCATAAGTTCAAAGCCAGCCTAGGCTACAGGGTGAGTTCAAGACCAGTCTGGGCAACTTAGCAAGACCCTGTTTCAAAAATAAAAAGTAATAAGAGAGTTGGATGGAGCTCAGTGGTGGAGCACTTGGCTCATGAGTGGGAGGCCCCAGGTTTAATCTCCAGCAAAAAGAAAGAAAGAAAACAAAAAAAAGAGCTAAAGTATAAAATTCTTAGGCTAAAACATAGATTGAATTTTTATCACAGTAAAATCTGCAGAGCTGGAGAGGTGGCTCAGTGCCTGAGAGCACTGGCTGTTCTTCCTGAGGTCCAGGGTTTGGATCCCAGCACCCTCATGGTAGCTCACAGCTGTCCGTAATTGTAGCTCTGGGGATCTGATACTTCCAACCTCCATGGGCACCTGCATTCACATGTACGGACCCACATACAGACACACACACCTACACATAATTAAAAATAATAAAAACAAAATTTTTGCTTGTTTGTTTTCTGAGACAGGGTTTCTCTGTGTAGCCTTGGCTGTAGGATCTCACCCTACAGACCAGGCTGGCCTAGAACTCACAGAGATCTGCCTGTCTGTGCCTCCCCAAAATAATTATTTTTAAAAGACTCTACTGGAGGAAATGACAACTTATAGAGTTAAAAAATTTACAAATCATCAGATAAGAACTGAATATTCAGAGTAGTTAAAGAAATCCCCCAACTCAGCCAGGTGGTGGCGGCATATGACTTTAATCCCAGCACTCAAGGGGTAGAGGCAGGCGGATCTCTGTGAGTTCAAGGCCAGCCTGATCTACATAGTTAGTTCTAAGATAGCCAAAGTCACCAAACAGACCCTGTCTCAAAAACAAAACAAAACAAAACAAAACAAAACAAAACAAAACGTTCCCAAACTCGACGATAAAAAAGAAAAATGACCTGATGTTGGAAAGGGTAAAAGAAATGAAGACTTTTTTTTTCTCCAAAGATACAAGATTGGACAATAAACACAAGAAAATGTTGCTCATATCTTCATGAGAAGAACATGGAACAAAATAAAAAACAACACAAAGAGATATCACTTCATACTTGCTAAGATAATAACAATAATTCAAAAGACAGAAAGGGAATTTTAGAGAGTGCAGGAAATTAGATTCCTTGTACATCTCTATTGGGAATGTAAAATGGTGTTAGCATTGCAGTAATTTACCAGCTCCTCAAAAGTCAATAAGCGATGTAAAGAATGCCTGAATCTTAGCACTCAGGAGGCTGAGGCAGGAGGATAGCGAGTTTGGGGCCAGCCAGGACTAATAGTGAGACCCTATCTCAAAGAAACAAAACAAAAAGAAATAGGCAGGGTGAGGAGACAGCTCGCTGGCAAATGCATGAGGGTGGCATTCAGATCCTTAGCACACGGAAGAAGAAAGAACCAGGCAGCCAGTGCAGCCTGAAATCCGCAGCTGGGCCGGTGGAGACCGAAGCGTCCCTGCAGCTCACTGCTCAGGCAGTCTAACTTAACCCAAGAGCTCCCAGTTCAGAGAGAGACCCTGCGTCAAAATTTACGGAGGGAAGTGATCGAGGCAGACCCTTGACATCAGCCTCTGGCCTCTGTATGTGTGTGCACACACATGTGCACATCCACGTGGATATGCACACACAGCTGCACGCAGTTGCCATATGACCTGGAAATTCTACCCCTAGGCAGGGTCCTGAGAGAATTAAAAACAAGGATTGAAATGGATCCATGGCAACATTCTTCTCAGAGGACAAAAGATGGAAAGAACCCAAATGTCCATTAACAAATGGATAGATAGACAAAGTGTATATAAAACACAATGGATTGTTACTCCACCATAGAAAAAAGAAAGTGTGCTGGCATTTGTTATAACGTGGATGAACTCTGAAAGTATGATATTAAATGAAATGAGCCAGATGCAGAAAGACAAATGCTGGGTGGTTCTGCTTGAAACACAAGGGGCAGGCAGGTTCATAACTTAATCTCGAAGAGGCAGACTCACAGGCACAGAAGTAGGGGTGGGGGGAGAGGCAGGGGGGTCATTGCTTAATGAGTACAGAGTTTCTGTTTGAGGTGATGAAAACGTTTTGCAAATCAACTGTGGTGGTAATTGCATAATAACAATTATGCCACAAAACCCCACACTTAAAAATGGTCAAAACAAGGCTGGGTGGTGGTGGTGGTGCACTCGGGAGGCAGAGGCAGGAGATCTCTGTGAGTTCGAGGCCAGCCTGGTCTACAGAGCAAGATCCAGGACAGTCAGTGCTACACAGAGAAACTCTGTCTGAAAAAAAAAAACAAAAAATAAACAACAACAAAAAGGTCAAAACACACACACACACACATACATACGTATACACACATACACAAACACACATACAGACATATACACACAGACACAGACACACACACACACACATGATGAGTGCTGATGGAGAATGCCATCAGTTTGAGGTCAGCCTGGTTTATGATGCAAGTTCCTGGACAGCCAGGACTGTTACACAGAGAAGCCCTGTCTCAAAAAACCAAACCACCACCAACAACAACAAAAAACAAACAAACAAAAACAAAGCGGAAACACCCCCCTACACACACACACACACACACACACACACACACACACA